GGTCTCTTTCCTCTGAATGGCAAAGCCTGTTTGGCTCTGGGGCAACCCAAGCCTTCTCAGAACAGGAGATCCTCTCTCCAGATTGCTGTTCTCAAAATATACAACTTCCTCAAATTCACCTATATGTTTGCATGCTATGTCCTATCATGTCATCATCTAGAAGGAATTTTCAGTAAGATTTTTTCCACAAGATCGCGCCTCACTTTTTTTTTTTTGGTTTTGTTTTTTTTTTTTTTAAGTCCTTGTTGTTTTCGCAGAGGAACATGATGGAGTGGTTGCAGTGTACGTTCAAACCTCTTGGAGATTAGAAGAGTGATATCTCTCCAGCGCATTTATCTTTCAGATGGGACTTCAAATACACCCAGACTGAAAGCAGTTTGTTTTAAAAGATACACTGTGCTCTTTGAATAGGTTTATGTAGCTTCCCAGAGTGTGTGTTCTTCTTTATTACCTACACAGCTTATGCAACGTGATTTTTAAAGTCATGCTTAATTGAAGAGAAATTTAAAAAGTATAGTCTGCTGTATGTTGGAAGAGGAATAATTTTCTTGTATGTTTTCCTCTGTCTTCATTGCACAGGATATTTTTATGTAAGAAATGAATTTGGAATTATTTTTCCAGTATGGTATCTTTTACATAATTTTTTTCTGATTTTTCCCTCTAATTTACGCGTGTTGCTTATTTTCAATTTCTCTTTTTATTAGTTGTTTTCCAAGAGGCGTGAAAGGTCCTTAAGAGAGTCTGTCTCACCTTGTGGACAGTCCTCACATACCTCGTCTTTTTTCAGAATGTGAGTGTGCCATGAAGAGAAGAGTAGTAGATATTTCAGGGTGCTCCTGTGTTACATAAAGTGCTGTTTCCCTGTACTTTTACACATACTTAATGTCAGGACTAAGTGAGGGTCTTGCAGAAGCTGGGAGGACGATGCAGCCATGCACCAGCGTACCTGCCGAGCTGCTGGGAGGGACAGGCTACCACGACCTCACCAGGAAAGCCAGGGCTGATCTTGGAAAAGACTCTGGGGCTCCATGGGGAGAACAGGTCACTTTGGTAAAATGTGTTTTCTCTCATACCAAGAGCTCTATCCAAGTTAGTTTTAGAAACCAGAGAAGTTTGGATGCCTAAATGTTTAAATTAGAGTAGATTCTGACAAGTGCTTGGTTTAAGCACGTAGGAGATCTTATTTTTCCTTTTGAGGGGACTAGGGGAATAAAAAAAAGTTTGTATTTATTCCCATGTGGGTCAAAGCAGAGAATCTCTGTGAGGCAATGGTGCATGAACAAGCATTATAACTAAAATATTTGGGTATGCAAAGGCATTTCGCAGCACACCACCCCTCCTGTTTTTGGGTCTTTGTTCATGTTTCTCTTCCATCTTGCTTTATATTCCAAACTTGCATGCAGACAGTGAAGATAAGTGCCTTAGTGTATTTTAAAGGGGCTGAAAATGTCTCATGGATACTGGCCAGCTGCTTCTTACATGAACTGCTGATTCTTAATTCAACAAAATAAACTTAATCTAGCTCAAATGCCCCTTACAACAGAATATCACACCCCCTACCCCCAAGAAGTTGTATGGCATTTGGTGTAGACTGCAGTGCCATTAAAACACACACAGTATTTTTAAAGACTACATATTAATTTACAGTTTACATTCACTTGCGTTTCCTTAAGCCTTGCCTCTCTGCTAGTGGGGATTTCTGTGCTGTGACAGCCTGGGAGAAGTCTGCAGGCTGGATGTAACTCTGCTGTGGATTCTGTGTGACAAACTAGTGCTATGGAACTGCAGGGTGAGCTTGGACCAAAGCAGTGGAAGGTTAGTAGTTAACACCTGAAACTGCTGAGATGTGAAACTCTTTTGGTAGGCTGAGGGTAGCTGGAGGTGGCTGCATTCCATGTGTGCTGAAAGAGAATTGTTTTAGAATACTTTCAAATTTGGAATTATTTCAAAATACAACTATTTTTATCATCATCACAGTCAGCCAGAAAGAAACAAAAATAGCTATGGCAAGATTCTACTTGCAATGGAAAAGTAATTGGTGTAATTTGATTTTACCAGTTGACATCTTCCATGCCTTGTGCCATCTTTGGTGTTTAATAATTAATACTGAGATAAAAAATTATTAAACCAGAATGTTATTTTCTATTAGTAGGATTTTTTACAAGTGTTTCTTTCCCTCATTTTTATGTTCAGTCCTCTGAATTGAAGCTTTTTGGGAAGTTGTTATTTTATTTGCTGCTTTCCAATGAAGAATGGCTTTGCTCTTCTGCAAAAAGCCCCTCTAGAAGAATTACTTTCAAATGGCTCTCAAATGATATGAGTGGGGAATTGTGAGTTGTTCATATATGTTTGTCAGTTGATTTACCAAAGCCTAAGGTAGACCTCCACAGACTGTGTAAAGCAGACTCAGGTTGGTTGAACACCCTTACTGCCAGTGGAATTTTTGTCTGTGGAAGATCAGACTTGAAATTTTGTGGGTGTTAAATGTGTATGAATTAAAATAATTCAAATCTAGGAACACTTTATTTCAACTTCTACAATTACAAATTGCAGTGCATTGGCCAAGATAAATAATAAAGACAAAACAATTTTTCTCAGAATATTTTGTTGAAGACAGTAACACTTCCATTAAGCATTTTAGACTAATAAAACAATTCATTAATTTTTTAACTCTTTTTCCCCCCCCCCCTCAGGCCTAATTTAATATAGGACTAGGGGGATCTCCTATGAGTGGCTAATACTCTTCTTATAAGTAATGCTTTCTTCATAGCCTCATTTTCATAACTAAGTTTCATTAATGAAAGTGCTATAAATAATTAAAGTGAAATATGTCAAGACTAAGCCCAGGGAATCTGTGGCCAAGTAAACAAAGGGACTGAAGCTTTGGATTTATATGTGCTTGAACTGCTGCGTACAGCATTCTTGTCTAAGTTTGGCTCTTAGAGCTCTTTTGAACTTTCAGACAGGAAATGCTGTAGAAAGTTGAGTTAAAATGGGACCTACATTTAAAAAGAAATAAAAAAAAAGTCATTAGTCTAAAAGTTGGCCTGCTAATAAAAGCAACATTCTCACTGGTGTGAACTGTAGAATATTAAGAATGTCAAAAACATTGTATAAAACATCTGAAAAAATCTTTTCCCAAAGCTTTCTGTTTTTTTTTCCTGAAATGATATGGATCATTTGGGAAGAAGCTGTTGTGTGCATTTAACATGATAGTATACGTGAACAGAAGTTACCTGCTGTATGATTAAATGATTTCTAGGTTAAGTCTTTGATTATAAGGCAACATGGGTTGTTACTTGGCAGAGTTAGATTATGGGTCAGATAAATAAGATGCTTTTTTTTGTTTCATCCATCAATATGCAGTGTAAACCTCACTTGTATTTGCTGTTTGGCATGTTTGTACCTCCTGGTACAAACTTCAGTGGCTGACATCCTTTNTTCAAGAAATGAAATTTCTTTTGTAAATCATCCCTTAAATATTATTGACTGCTCTCTGAGGAAAAGGTAGTTTGGGTTGATGTTGTTTTATAACTCTTAACATGCTGAATGGATACTAGATATGCAGAAAATCAAACCCAGAAATGAATGGTCTTGTAGCAAATAAGAAGGCTAAATTAACTTAAATGTAATGAAGTTGTTCTCTAGTGTGTAACGAGATGATAATTGTGACAGTCTTACCTTGCTTTTTATTAAGCTCATGCTGGTGATGTGGTTAGACTATTTACGTATTGAAGAAACTCAAAGGTAAATACAGTGAGAAATCTTAAAATTTACAGTTGTAGATCTGTAGCTCTTTGTTGACTCATAGATGTTAAGTGATGGATATGTGAATATATGGTCTTGTTAATGCTCTGCATATTTTTATCTACATTTTAAGAAGCTGATGTTTTCTTAATGTGGCAATAGATCGGTTCTCTTCATTAGAGAGTGCTGTGTTCTTTGATCTTAGTCATGTGGTGTTTGTAGCCCTTAATGAGGGGGGGTTGAGGGTGGGAAGATTGTTTTACACTGCTGTAATTGGAAAAGAAACAATCTATGGGGATCTTGACCATTGGTTTTTGCAGTATGTAAGGTGGAGAATTTCTGATGTGTTTCATCTTCCACTGAGGCGGATACTGAGTCTCACATGTAGTCATGACAGGATACAAAAACATTTAAATCTCTAATAATCTGTTAATCAGAGTTGTTTCTTGTTTTGTTTGTTTGTTTATGGTTAAGATTCTGTTTCACTGAGGTGGGTGGTGCTGTGATTTCCTGTATGTCCTGTTGACATAAATCACTGACTTTTAAGGTAATTTGATACCTACACACATTATCATATTATTTGAGGCTAAATTTTACCCTTGAAGGGTTTTTTTTTCCTATTCATTGTCCCTCAGGAAGTAACTTTTAGTTTTCGTGAATGCTTTGTCAGGCTCTGAATTCTTGTTTGCTCTCTAATCAAAGTACTGAGCATCCTCAGCCTCTGCGCCTGCTCTGTGCATGCCACATCAAGCACAGCAGGGCCGTCTTAGACGCAAAGTAATGTAGTTGCCAGTAGGAATATGATACTTGCTAAAGTCTCTAGGAAAGCCTTTTATCTTTGGCAAGTGAGTATTTTACATGAAATTACACATGATGGTAAAGCCACAGATTTAAAGGGTAATAACCTCTTCAAGAAATGTTTTCCTCGTTTGAGGAGTATTTTTAGCCACTTCTGCCTGGTTTTAAAACAAAAAAATGTTTTTAAAGGTTGCGCTTCATTCAAGACGCTGTGATGCTAGTGTATGGAAATGAATGTTTCCTGTTTTATGGATTTTACTTATTTAGTAATTACGCTTGTCATTGAAGTCTGGGATATCAGCAGAAGGAGACGCTGCTGCTTTTTGGTGCAGTAAATTGTCGTATGGTGTGCTTCTGAGTGCAGGGCAAGCGATGGAATTGTTGAATTAAAAACCTGAATATATTTGAATATATTTAAGAATCTGTACATTTGTATGATTTTGTTCTTGTTTCAGGTGATCCATGCCATCTTTTTGCAGAGCACAGGGAGGGAAATTGTCACTTTGGACTCTCCTGAGCACCTGAAAGGAGAAACGTTACCCTGAGAATGAAGCAGTAAAAACACTTCTCTGCAGAACCGTATGATTGAAAACGCGGTCCAGCCCTCCTCTGCTGCCAGACATGCTTTCGGGCTCCTGCCCCGCTTACCCGTTGTTGCAGTAATACAGATGGATCGTAGCAGAGCGGCAGAAATGGAGTTACGGAGGTCCTCCAGCCCTGGCAAGCTCAGCAAGAACGACATGGATGCTGACAAGACCATGTGCCACAGCTGTTGCATCTGCGGTAAAAGTTTCCCTTTTCAGAGCTCCCTGTCGCAGCACATGAGGAAGCACACGGGTGAGAAGCCCTACAAATGCCCTTACTGCGATCATAGAGCTTCCCAAAAGGGCAACCTGAAGATTCACATCCGTAGTCACAGGACAGGCACTTTAAGTCAGGGACATGAGGTGGAGATGGGAGAGGCGCAGCTGGGGGAGATGGGCGTTTCAGAGGGCCTTGGCGGGTGCACCAGCCCCACTAAAAGTACGTCTGCCTGCAACAAGATCTTGAATGGTACTGCTCAGGTCGATAGCAGCAAGATCTTGTTGAGAAGCAGCAAGAAGGAGGTCACAGAGACAGCGCCGGTCGAGGAGGATGGCAAGCTGACCTCTTACCAGTGCACCTTCTGCAAAAACAAATTTGAAAGGAAGAAGGACCTGGAGCAGCACCTGCACCAGGTCCACAAACCGTTCAAGTGCAGGTTGTGCAGCTATATGACCCTGAGGGAGGAGACGCTGTTAAACCACATAGAGAAGGACCATATAACAGCTCAGGTCCCCAATGGGGAGGCCTACACTGAGAACTGCAAGAGTGAGCTGAGTGCGGGCGAGTTTCCATGTGAAGTCTGCGGTCAGGCCTTTAGTCAAACCTGGTTCCTGAAAGCTCACATGAAAAAGCACAGGGGCTCATTTGATCACGGGTGCCATATTTGTGGCAGGAGATTCAAAGAGCCCTGGTTTCTCAAAAACCACATGAAGTCGCACGGCCCCAGGTCTGGGAGCAAAAACAAACCAAAAAATGAGTTGGAGCTCATAGCCACTATCAATGACGTGATACAAGAGGAGACAATTGTGACAGGCCTATCTCTGTATGAAGTTTGCACCAAGTGTGGAAATCTGTTTACAAATATGGAAAGCCTGAAAGCGCATAACGTTGTTCACTACCGGGTGCAGCCGGGCAGCACCAGGGATAAAGCTGAGGGCTTGGCTGATGGGAGCCTGAGCTCTTCAGTAACGAAGCAGTTTTTCTTACAGTGTCTCAATCTACGGCCATCTGTAGCGCTGGATAGAGTTACAAGAGGACAGCCTGGGAAAAGAGTAGCCGAGCTGGATCCGGTCAGTAGCTACCAAGCTTGGCAACTGGCCACCAAAGGAAAAGTAGTGGAGCCCTCGGAGTATGTGAAGTATGTGGGATGGGACGAGGCCCTGGCAGATGCGGACGTGACTTACGACAAGGATAAGAGGGAGTATATCCTTGTCAACCAGGAGAAGCGCAAGCGAGACCAGGACTCGCCCAGCAACCCCAAGAAGAAGAGCTGCACCAGTGGGCGCCCAGAGAAAACCAGCACTGCCCCACCAGGGGAGAGCTGCCCGCTCGCCCAGGGGGATCTGGACTACCGCCCTGCCTCACGGCAGAGCCGGCGGGCTGCCCAGAACAAGTCCACCGAGTGCTTTGAGTGTGGGAAGATCTTCCGCACCTACCACCAAATGGTGCTGCACTCGCGGGTGCACCGCAAGGAGCGGAGGAGCTGCAGTGAGGGTGGGACGGCTGCCCAGCCTGACCGCTATGGCTCCAGCAGTGAGGAAGGTGACTTGGGGTCCGTCAGCGGGCCTAGCACCCCCGGCTCCGCATCCGCCCCAGAGGACTCGGCCACCTCTGGCTTGGGGGAGGAGGGGGCTGAGGAGAGCTCAGAGGAGGGAGCAGCCAACCCCTTGCTAGGTAAGATTGCTTCCAGCCTTTCCTTGCTAGTGTTGCTTGTCCCTGCGTCTCCTGGTGTGGGACAGAGCAATGAGCAGATGGAGAATTATGTGAAAGCATGTGAGAGGTTTTAAGGCAGTGTGGATGGGGTCTCATGCCTCCTGCTTGTCTCAGCATGACGACTCGTTTCTGATGGAGGTAGTAAAGTGAGATCAGATGATGTCTTCGTAATGTGCCAGTGAACTTGTATTTTGGTGAAGGACACCTGAGAAGTATCTTAGTTGCCTATAACGACACTGTAGGCTAGGATAGCATCTTCCCTGGATATCCTGGGGGCTTTTTTTCCTCAATTCATGGGTACCCTGTGCAGTGTTCTGCCTGCAGTGTACAGGTGTAGCAGGGTCACAGCCTGTGCAATGTAGCCCCAAAGCACATAAACTTGTTAATCACCAGCATGAGAGGAGTCTCTCTCCTCTTCTCTGCTTCACTTCCCAAATTGTGTTTATAACTCCAAAGGCTATAATTAATCTCTCTGGATTAAAGCGGTCCTTTGAGCCCAATGCTACTAAATGGAACAAATTATTCTCCAAATAGCAGCAAAGTAAATATTTAAAAGAACACCATTAAGCACTTTTATATCTTCCTTTTTTTTTTTAATCCTTTATTTTTGTTGTTCACCATGCTTTGTTTGTAATACCCTTTTAGAAATGTGAGATTAACCATTCTTTCTGTGCTAGCCCTTCTGCTGGTTTTTGTTTGGTTTCTGTTTGGTGAACAATAATGCTTTCCTCTCATTTTCATTCCTTTTGTTGTGAAGAACGTAGTTATCTATAGAGTTAAACTCATTTTCAAGACCATCGTGGATGAAGTAATCTGCACCATTGTAAAAGAGGGTGGGTTTATTCAATTACCTTGTTCTTTCAGGATATTATGTGTGTTGCCCTTTTTCCTGGCGTCAGACCCTGCAGCAACAAAACAACTTTTTCCAGAATTGTGTATTGTTACATGTTTTTTGTAAATTTTTTAAGCAATATGGAATACATTTATTTTGTCATTAACTTTTTTTCATGCAAGTTTCATGATTGTAGGACAACTAAAGTTGTGACTGATGCTGCTTGGCAATATAACTACCAAATATAAGGTGTAGAGGGAAGAGAGCTCCAAAGGGTTGAAATTCTGAAAAAAATTAAACCCATCTTTTTGTCCTTAAACTTACAGGGACGGTCCTAAACTTGATTTTGCTTTTGGATCAAGTCCCCAATGGACAAATTGAGTGCACACTAGAACAGAAAAGTAAATTAATCCAAGAGCTCTACTTTTTTTTTGTGCTTTCTTGCCCTTTCTGTAAACAACTCCAAAAATTCCCAGTGACAAGCTGACAAATACTTTCAGTATGATTACTTGCTCATTTAAAAGATTCAAACTTTGGCTTTTCCATCTGCTGTTGGATACTTGAACACTTAAAGTTCGTTATTGGAGTGTGCATACTTACTTTGTGAAAATCCATCAGCTGCCACCTGAAACACTTCAGTACAGTTGACACAAGATGTGGCAATAAAGCTGCAGCTTTGTCTAGAGTTGAGTGCCATGTTTTACCACTGTAATGTACAGTTCCCTTATCAAAACAGCTGTGATGAAAAACCATCTCTTTGGAGATGGGCTAAAAACACCATAACACTTTTTCGCATGATGTTCAAATAGGAAGACTGTTTTTAAACACTTTCCATATTAAGCGCTTTATTTCTGACAAGAGGAGTTGTCTCATATCTTTGCTTGTCCTGGTTCTCTCCTCAACTCAAGCTTTGAGCCCTTGTGGCAGGAGTGAAAGGGGCGAGTTAGAGTCACACAAGTTTTCTCTCAGGAATTAAAGCTGCTGGCTTAACTGATGTTGCTAGCCAACACCTAAAAACTTGTTTCTTTGGATACCAAATTGGTCCTCATCTTCTTTAACTGTAAAGAAGCAACAAACTGATGGGCCTAAATAAAGGTGAATCTTGGAAATGGGATTTGTTTGCAGAGATGGGTGAGGAGGCTGCTTCATTTTATGTTTACTAACATTACAGCTGAAGAACTATCTGTTTTATTGGCTAATAAGAAATGTTTTAATCCCAGAAAAATGTTATCCTTGCTCCTTAGTAGAGTTTATTTAACTTGAATTGCTGCCTCAATGAAGTGATTTTTTTTTTTACAAGTGACAAAAATTTTTTTTTAATTGGAAAGAAAGTTGGTGAGGGTGTTTTTTGTTTGTTTGGTTGGTTTTTTTTTTTGTTATTTTGTTTAGAGAAGGTTTCATAGGTCAGTGGTCAGGACTTAAGCTTCTCATTTGTCTTTTTTTGGTATGCAGATTTACTGTCACTGCCCTTATACTGTGTTCTATGGAACTGGGGTCCTTCTGTCCAGCAAGCTGTTGAATTAGTTTTAGTCTCAAGATTTTAAACTCAAGAGGCTTTCTTTCCCTCCACTATGAACAGTAACTTAAGGTGTGAGAAATATAGGCCAAATTCTGCCCCCATGTGTGTGCCTGCTAGAATCAGGTGTTCTGGTATGGCCTTGAAGCACATTTTGTCCTAGAAGTGCTGTAGTTTGCTATCCTTTGCTGCAGCTTTTTTTAGTTATTCTTCCAGGTGAAGCATTTCCACCAGGAACAGCGGTCCAGCCCCATGGACAGCCTCCTTCCCCAGTGGAGGCAGGCAAGCAGAGCTCTTGGTTCCTGTTCCTGAAGTTATTTCTGCAGTATTATTTTTACTCAGGCTATGATCAGGAAAATCTTGTTCTATTCATAAGGTTATATAGTATCCGTTGGTTTTTTTTCACTTTCCTTTCTTTACTGTTTTCTCCCCCTTTGACGCATTACTATGTTATCCTGTGTCAGAAAAAGGCCTTGAGACTGCCAAGTATTGAATGCTGTGGCCTTGACACAGCTGAAAGTACTTCTTTGTGCCTTTAATTCTTAATAATCTGAGTAGTCCTGTTGACACACCATGTCTTGCAACAGGGAAGCTGGCAGTGGACCTGTGTGGTACTTAGGGCCAACGGGTGTTCGCGCTGAGGGTGACAGGGGCTGTGAGGTACTGATAGGGCTTACTGGGAGAAGAGCAGAAATTGCACCTTGCATGTAAAATGGGGTTTAGGGCCCCCAGGGTAGGCACTTCTTTTTTCCTAACATGTCGGTAATTTGTCTCTGCTGCCTTTGGGGAGCACCATCATGATTTCTCAGGCACAGAGAGGGGGATGGGGGCAACGTAGTATTTGCAAACCCAGTTTATCAAGTGCCAGGGAATAAGCTAGCTGACTACAAAGTGTGTTTCATCTGACTGGAAGGAGAGTAAAAATGTGTTTTCTAGAGTTTTCTAGATGTGTGATACCTGTCATACACAGATCACGCAAGGAGTATGTGTGCCTTGCGTGACAGCCATGTGGGAAGAGGTGACCCAAAGCACACTTGCTTTGTTCACAGCAGACTCTGAATATTTTTGAGGTCTTCCTGTCCCAGCTGAGTCTTTGTTTTTATTTATCATTCAAGCCACTACCGAACTGTATCTAAATTTTCATTGAGTTGCATCCAAAGCTGTCCAAACCATCCAAAGTTGTTTTCCCCAACTTGAGATTACTGATTGGGCTTTTTTGTGATTTTTATTTTTCCCTAAAAAGAGCCCCAGAGCTGAGAGAGTAAAGAGGGATTATGCATTTGTTGATAAAAGTGAAGGGAAAACACTGTTTTTATAATTTTTCAGCTCCTCAGATGAAATGTAGTTTTAGATATGTCAGTGAATTTGATGCTTAGTATTTTTAAGACGAACCCCTTCATTGCCATGGTGTTTTTAGCAGTGAAGGTGTTACAGTTTGTTACATTAGGCTCTATGAACTATTTCCGTCCTGCAGTGAAGAAGGAAGTATAATTTTTGAGGCTGTTACGGCTGTTGGCAGGTGGGAAGATGAAGAAAAGAAGTGAAAACAATTTTAATACCTCTTGGTGCTCAGCAGACATAGTAAAAGCAGAGATCTGTGTCAGTAAGGGAGTACCATAAAGGTGGTACTGCTTCTTGCATCGAAGTGTCAGACTGGGGTAATGTTAAAAGCAATCTAGGAAGGGAAAAAAAGAAAGAGTGTAACATAGGAAGAGTGTAACATAGGAAGGAAGGAGGGGAATGCTTCTCTTAGCTTGACCTTGTCAGGAAAGGACATCAGGGAAAGGGGAGGATGTTGCTCCTCAGAATGCTGCTTCAGGGAAAACCATCTTGTCCATTTTCTTTTTGTTATTTCCTGCCTTTTCTGTCCCTTCTCTTTGCCTGCCTTTCTCCTTCTGTCAGACTCCTCTGAGTTTTTGAAATGCTTCAAGGAGAGACTGATTCACTCATAACTGCACACATGCTGTTTTTATTATACTGGTTAATGCAGGAAGGGGCTGATTGTGAGCAAGGACTGTTGTGCCGGGCCCTGTACCATCAGGGCTTTCAGCCCAAGAAGCTTATGGGTGGACACAAGTTGCTAGACTGCACAAAATAAAGCCCCAAACAATGAACGCAAAACAGTGGTGCATGGCTGTACTTGGTTTATGTCAGGAGTTAGTGGTGGTATGGTGGGACTTGCTCAGGAATGTGAATGCTGTGAAGGGGCAAGACGAGAGGTGGGAGTAAGGTGCAGGGGGTAGAGGAGGGACAGTGGGAAGGTAGGGATAAGCAGGACCTTGCTGAAAGGAGCTGTGCTGTGCAATGAGGTTTCAAAGAGGATGGGGGCTGAAGATAGGTGTGGAATGGCGTTGCGGTTCAGGCCCTCAAGGACAGTGCCAGCATGCTGGGTAGGTCAGGAAGAAGAGTAGGAGAGAATTATGAAGCATAAATTTGGACTTGGTTTTGCTGAGATATAAATTATAACAAATCCAAGACCTGGAACTTTAATGGAAAATGCATAATTTCAAAAGTCTTTTAATTTAAAATAATTCAAAAGTAAAAATCACCTGGATTTGCTTTAATATTTTAGTAAAGTGGCAAGGCTGTAATTTGAGGAGGAAGGGAACAGTA